TACTTTAAACAATTTAAATAAATAAATAAATAAATAAATAAATAAATAAATAAATAAAGCCAGTGCCCCAAAGGCCCAAATTCCTGCAGTTTCAAACACCTGGCAGCTTCAGCTCCCAAATTTCTTTTACATTTGAAGAGGTTTCCTTTGTAAAGCTCCAATTGTTGGAAAAGACATGGGCTTACTAAGTAGATGCCAACGCACTCAAGATTTTGCTTCTAGAAACCAGATCACCTCTTGACTACAAAACCAATCTGTATCTCAGTGTTCTTTCTCTCCTTCCCCACTGCTCCAAAAAACCTATCACAACCTTTTGTCCAGGCTATAATCCTACTCAGGGAATATGCTACTCTCTAAAGTTCAATCCAACCTGGTATCCCCATTCTTTTGCTTTGGGAATATCACCTAACCTCTGGGAGTTGCAGGGTTTTTCCCTGTGTAAAGTAACAGGATTTACTGACATAATGTATGCAAACTGCTTAATGCTTGGTACACAATATGGAACCACTGTATTATGTTCACCAATTCACACAACAAATATTTATTGAAGTCCTAGATGCTGTTCTACGAATGGAGACATCAATAGTGAACAGACAAAGCCCCTGGCCTTACTAAGCTTATATTCTGGTAGGAAGAGGCACTAATAAGTAATTAAATTTTCTGGTATGTCAGATAATAATGCTATGAAGACAAAGAAAGCAGGAAGTAAGATAGGCAATATTGGAGGGTATTGTAATTTTAAATGTGCTGGTCTGAGAAGATCTCACTTAGAAATAACATTTATATAAAACATAGAAGAGGTGATGGAATGAGCTATGAGGAGAGGATTCGGACAGAGGAAACAACAAGAGAAAAGAGAATGCCTATTTTCTATTGGAGAAACAGCAAGGAAGACAGTATGGCTAAAGAGTAGATGAGGTCCAAAAACTAAAATGGAAGGTCATTGTAAAGATTCTAGTTTTGCTCCAAGTGAGGTAGGGAGACATTGTAGGATTGTTTTAAAATTTAAATTCTTTATTATTTAAAATATTACATAAATCTCCTTTTTCCCCCATTGACCATTCCCTGGCCTCCCTCACCCCCCAGCACATGCTCTTACCACCGCCCCCCCATCTGTGCTCATATGCTTGCATAGAGGACCTTTGGTTGATCTCTTACCCCCTCACCCTCTGCCTTCCCTCATAGGTTGGACAGTCTGTTCGATGCTTCTATGACTCTGATTCTATTTTGTTCATCAGTTTATGTTGTTCATTATATTCCACAAATGAGTGAGATCATGTGATATTTATCTTTCTCCAACTGGCTTATTTTGCTTAGCATAATGCTCTCTAGCTCCATCCATGCTGTTGCAAATGGTAAGAGTTCCTTCTTTTTTACAGCAGTGTAGTATTCCATTCTGCAGATGTACCACTGTTTTTAATCCACTCATCTACAGCACTTAGGCTGTTTCCAAATCTTAGCTATTGTAAATTGTGTTGCTATAAACATAGGGGTGCATATGCTCTGATTGGCGTTTCTGATTTCTTGGGATATATTCCTAGAAGTGGGATTACTGGGTCAAATGGGAGTTCCATTTTTAATTTTTTGAGGAAACTTGAAATTTGAACATCTTGAAAGGGTGCGAGGACATATGTTTGAGCCCAGAAGAGTGGAGTATAACACACATGGTAGGAAATATTTGTGTGTTAAATCAATAAATGATCTTGTTACTATAGGCTAGAAATCACCATTTGACCCACCTCCAGAGATGTCTAGAAGAGAAGCCAGTAAGAATATTGTCCAGTGTTTGGCAGAACTTAGCTTCAGGGTTACTCTGGTTTTGTGTTTCTGTTTGTTTATTTCCCAAGGAGTAGGTGGGAGTGGGATGGAGGAGTAGGGAGGTAGGAGAGGGAGGTAGACAGGCAGGGAGGTTTGGCCTTTATTTGACTGAAAATTTTGATTTTTTTCTTCACCTAGAGATTAATCAGAGAGGTAACCTCACTGCAGGAAGCAGAGTAGCCAGCAGCAGGAGTGAAACCCAATAGGAAGATCAGGGCTCAGGCCAAGCAAGTTTTCTTAGTGCCACTAAGGAATTATCTTTTAGTTTTTCTGAGACTTAGAGAGGCATTAGTCAAATGAGGTCTCTGTGAGACCCCTTCCCCTTTCTCCACTGCCTAGCTCTGGGCTGATTCCCACAGATGAGGTTAATTGTAAGGCTTGATAATGAATGTGAAAGTGCTTTATAAACAGCACAATCCACACGTGGTAGTCTATGGGGATCTGGGTGAGCCTTTACTTTAGCAGGCTCAATGCTTGGGAGACTCTCACAGCCTGGTAAATATTTTTTTAAGCCTAGTCTGGCCTCTCAGAGCTGCCAGAGTAGGCCAGGACTACTCTCCATCTCCCTATTCTCCCCCAGTTCCCTGGTCCAGATTTCAGCCTAGTTCAGCCTCTGCAGGGCAGGAGTCTCTTTGTACTATCGATCTTGGCTTCAGTTGTTAATCATTGGGCCCTCTCTACTACTGGGAGAGAGATAAGAAATGCATATTAAGTCCCTCTGACTGATATGGTAACTGAGGCTAAGAGTAGGGCAAGGACTTACCCAAGGCACTCAATAGTAAATGATCTGTGGAAGTTGGATTTAAACCCAAGCATAACTGACTGAGAAACTCTATGAGGTGTTTTACCATTCTACTTATTTCAGCCTCAGTTTCCAACTGAAAAATGGGACCGACAGTAGAAATCACTCTATACATGTGTTGGAAATATTCAGTGTATCAGTGGTGTGCTCAACAAATGGCCATTATTACTGCCATCCACAGAGTTATATTAAAAATAAATAATGTTGATATGAACATTATTTTACATGCCTTTTTATGTATATGCCTAAATGTGAAATTGTTGGGTCCTAGAAGAGGTATGTGTTTAGATTTAGTAGATAGTACCAAATAGTTTTCCAAAGTTTTTATACCAATATGCCATATTTTTCCATGTATAAGATGCTATTTTTTTCTAAAATCATTAAACTGAAAATCATGGGGTGTCTTATACATGGAAGTCAGCCAAGGAGGGAGCCGCACTGGTGCGTAGCTGCCCATACCTTGTTAAACAGTCTTCCTGCTATCACGAGCCTTATTGTTACTTACGTCAGCTGATGCTGTAATTGGAGGTGGAGGTGGAGAGTGCTCAGATGCAACTGGGACCAGAGCATTCTGAGCCCATAGCGATGTCAAAAAATAAAAAAGATAAATACCGGTAAGCGATTGTCTTCCTCTGTGAAATTCAAACTGAATGTAATCAGCTATGCAAAAGAGCAGGACACAGAGCTGCAGAGAGACAATTTGGACCTCCTCCCACTGTGTGTATGATCAGACAGTGTAGAAAACAGGAAGAACAACTCCTTAAGATGCCAAAAAGCCAAAAAAGAATAAAGCCTTAAGAGGAAAACCAGCAAAATGGTCAAACTTGGGGCAGACTTAAGACTTGGATTATGGAGTAGTGCCAGAGTAGCTTATGTGTGTCAACCAAGCTTATTCAATGTCTGGCAAGAATGTTTGCAAGCGAAATGAACATTGTTGATTTTACAGGAAAGGCAAAATGGTGCTTCAATTGCATGAGGAGAGAAGGGTTGGCCATGAGGACACGAACAAAGTTAGCTCAGAAAATGCCACCAGTTTTATGAGGATGATCTCACATATATAGACAGTAACTCAGAAGACAGCAATGATACAATAGAAGTTGAAGAAATTGTTATGTCTGAAACTAATAGTGATGAAAAAGAGAGCAGTGATGCAACAGAGGCTGAATAAAGTGATATGCTGCATAATATCATAGTAAACATTACCTGCGGTAATTACTAAATAAAAATGTGTTCTGTTTTATGTTTAAAATATTGATTTCTAATTTTGGGTTGGAAAAGTGGGGGCATCTTATACATGGGGGCGTCTTATACACGGAAAAATATGGTACATTTCTGGTAGCAATATCTGAGAGTTCTAATTTCTCTACATCTTTGCCAAAGTTTGGAATTCTTAGTCTTTTTCATTTTAGCCACTGTCAATTCTCTTTATATAGTAATCATTTCTTTGTTTTACATATATATGTGCACGTATTTCATCTATTACTAATGGTTGCAACAACCCAGCACTCTAACCACTGGGCAACTGGCCAAGACACTATGCATATTCTAGATATGTCCTTTATCACATATGTGTTTTGCAATATTTTCCACCAGTATGTTACATATCTTTTTATACCTACTAAGATAGTATAAAGTATAAGAGTTTTTGCAACCAGTAGATGAAATATGAGAGTTTTAGTTTTCATTGCTTCAATGTATACATATTTCATCTATTTTTGCTTAGTGTTCATTTTACTTATAATATTGTTTATATTTTTGTTTGTTGGGTTTTTTTTTCAACATCGTTATTGTGGTAAAATATACATAACAAAATTTGTCATTTTAACCAGTTTTATTATCTTATTACTTTTAATTTAATTACTTTTTATCAAGAAAGGCAGATTTATTATTTGTACATTTGTTGTAGAATGTTATTTTTTTATGAAAGGTGATTGAAAGGTGAACATGGTGGATTAGCATGGTGGTGCATGGGCAGGCTAAATAGTCATCTCAGATGGTGGTTTAAGAAAAGTTGAATTTATTTAGGGAAAGGGGATGGGGGATGGGATATCCAAAGGAAAGGGCTGCACAGCACAGAGCCAAGGGGACATTGGGTTGATGATGGCAGCCAAAATATATTGCAACAATGAAATAAGGAAGGGCATAGAAGAAGCAACAGGAGAGCCTAGGCTGGGCTGCTCTGGCTCACTGAGAAGTCAGAGAAAAGAGGGCCTTGGAGACAGGCTCAGGGTGTAAGCCCCAGACAAGCTGCTGCTGCCCATTGCTCCCCTGGTTGCAAGTCTCATGGGGTCCCATAGAGGTTGGGGGATACGTGCCAGTTGGGGAATGGCATGGACATGCTCCTGGGAGGGAGAGAGCAAGCTGGGTTCTTTGTCCTAAGCATATTTACCTCTCTCTTGCAGGTGGAAATCTTAGGGGTGGTCTCAGGGAAGGGTCTTAATATAATATTCATCAGCATTCCAGGTGTGCTCTTTCAGGGTCATGGTCTCCATTGATTGGTCAGTGCCAAGGCAGGGGGTCATTAGTCAATGTAGCTGGTCCTGAGGCAGTCCCAGTATCACTTGCCTGGTTTTGCTGCTTTTCTGAGCCTAGAGCTGAAATACAACTGAAGCCTAGATCTTATCTTTAGGGAGGAAAAGGTCAGGGGATCTAAACCACATGACCAGTGATATGCTAAGATAGGTTACCCTGGGGGCAAGATTCTTGTTTTCCCAGTTTTGCCCCTTGCTAGGCATCCAGGACTTGCTCTGGGGGGTTAAGTGATGCTATGTTTACTTTAAGAAGTGAGAATGGGGATGGAAGTAGCTGTTAGCAGGAAATAGGTTAGGGAATTTGAAAGACTTTTCATCTTTTTCTATTGGTCTTTATGTTATGGTTTAATTTAATTATTGTAACTTTATATAGTGTAGTTCCAAAACCTCTTCATATTCAAGCGTAAGTATCCAAATTCTAAAGCCAAATACAAATAACTTTTGAATAATTAGCTATATCATTGTTTCACTCCAGATTTGTCATAATCAAGAATGTGTTGTGCTCTATATTGGATTCTCCTCTCTAGTATCAACCATTTCTTTATATCCCAACATTAAATTCTATACATTTTATAGAAAAGATGTTAAATCTCAATGAAGCCAACTTTACATCATTAACATGACTATAAAATGAGGCAAATTGTTTGACAAACTCAACCAGAACTAGTTCATCCAACTGGATGTTGTTGTCCCTTATAAGAGTAGACTCATGGAGGCAGATACCATAGCCATGATGAACTTGTAATCTGCATTGGGCTGCTGCAACTAAATAAGCACATATATAGTATTTCTAATGACCTTCTCTGTCTTTAGACCAGTAATGTTTCTATATATTAGTTTCCATTGCTTCAATGTATATGAGTAAATATTTCTTGAGTATCTATTATGAGCCAGACAAGGAGATACAGCAGTAAATGAGGAAGATTAATCTCTGCCAAAAAATCATGAAATTTACATTCTACTGGGGGAAGACAATGTATTTTTGTCATATCCTTAACAACTCTGTTAGCATATTTCATGAGAATTATTGAAAAAGAAATCCTTAAGGAGAATATGCTCAGAAGGAATACTTGCTGCCCCTATTTCACTCACAGTTACAATTCTGGGGGCAAGACTGAATATGATTCCACAGATGCATTATAACTACACAGAAGTAAAGATGGATATTCACAATACTATTGAGTGAACATTTTAACCAGTTTTAGATGTACAGTTCAGTGGCATTAAGTATGATCATCATGAACATCCAGGATGTTTTCATTTTTTACAACCAAAACTCTGTACCAATTAAACAAAAACTCCTATTCTCACCTGCTTCTAGATTCTAGCAACAACCATTCTACATTCTGTCTCTTCATAGAGACTACTCTAGACACATCATATAAGTGGAATCATACAGAATTTACCTTTTTGTGTCTGGATTATTTGATTTAGCATAAGGTCTTCAAGGTTCACCTATGTTGTAATATGTGTCAGAATTTCCAGGAAGGTACTGGAAATATTGAGGGGAACATTTTGTAAGATATACAATTGTCCAATCACTATGTTATACATGAAACTAATACAAAATAATATTGAATATAAACTGTAATCGAAATAAATAAATAAATAAATGCAAAAAATCATTCTTTTCTAAGGCTGAATAATGACATTTTGTTTATTCATTTATTTGTCAATGGACATTTGGACTGTTTACACTTTTTCACTATTGGAAAATGCTGCTATAAACATGAGTAGAAAAATATCTGTTTGAGACCCTGCCTTCAATTCTTTTGGTTGTACATCCAGAAGTGGAATTGCTGGATTATATGGTAATTCTATGTTTAATTCCCTCCCACCCCTCCACCCCCCATGATACTGTTTTCTGTAGTGTCTGCACCATTTTACATTCCTCAGCAATAGATAAAGTTTCAAATTTCTCCACATCCTCACAGACACTTGCTATTTTCTGTTTTTATTCTTTATAGTAGCTACTAGTAGCCCGGTGCACGAAATTCGTGCCCATTAAGAGGGAATTAATTGCCCTAACCGGTTTGGCTCAGTGGATAGAACATTGGCCTGTGGACTCAAGGGTCCCAGGTTCGATTCTGGTCAAGGGCATGTACCTTGGTTGCGGGCACATCCCCAGTAGGGGGTGTGCAGGAGGCAGCTGATTGATGTTTCTCTCTCATCAATGTTTCTAACTCTCTGTCCCTCTCCCTTCTTCTCTGTAAAAAATCAATAAAATATATATTTAACACAAAAAAAGACTATGGACTTTTCAATAAACTCAACTGCATGAAAATAAAAATCTTTTGGTTTAATAACAGTTAAGTCTAGTAAGGACACTCCCATAGTGGGGAATGTGCAGGAGGCAGCTGATCGATGTTTCTCTCTCATCGATGTTTCTAACTCTCTATCCCTCTCCCGTCCTCTCTGTAAAAAACCAATAAAATATATTTTTTTAAAAAGGGAATTAATTAGCAAAGATATTTTAATATTGCTCTTTGCCCTTTCTCTATAATAGAAGTGTGAGAGATGAAAGGAAATTAGTAAAATGTATATGAAAATCATATATAAATTTATTAATAAATAAACAGTAACAAAAGGATATAACAACAACAGAGGCATGATATAAAAACGACAAAGAAACATGATATGAAAACAACAACAACATGATATAAAAACAACAGTGATGCAAACAATGACTGATAAAGTGATTAAACTTATTCTAATATCTCCCTGTACACCACATTAAGAGTGAAAACACTTTTGTGCGAAAACGGGTTCAGGTAGGAATATTCCTACTCTGTCTAGAGTTTGTCCTTGTGATTTATTAATAGTCATCGCAAATGCTGGCATTACGGGAAACTGTCGTCGAATCAATTTAAATGGGAGGCCAGTCTCAGATGCGGACAAATCAATTCTTGGAATCAGAACAACTTCTCCCTCTGCAGATCCTGTTAATACTTCAGCTTTGATAATGTTAGGTCGTAATCTTTTGATAATAAATCTGGTACCATTACAAAGACCCCATTTACTATTGAGATTTCTCAATAGCATGATGATTGCACCCACTTTCAATTTTAATTTATGACACGGCATTCCCGAAGGAGTAATACTATTAAGAAATTTGATGGGAAAATTTTCCTTTTCAGCATCATCTGTGGAATCAATGGAATCGTCACTGAAATATGTGTGAAAATCTCCATTGAGTATATCCAAATTTTCTTCATTTAATTTTTGAACATGCTCATTTTTTGGACAAAGAATTGCACGTTTAGATATATTTTTAATATTATCTATAGCAGTGGTTCTCAACCTTGGCTGCACATTAGAATCACCTGTGAATCTTTTTAAAATCCTGATTCATGGGCCTCATCCTCCGGAAATTGTTTCTTTGTTATGGGGTGGGGCCACAACATTAGTAACAAAGAAACAGAATTAAAACTTTATCATGGGGAGCTACTACAGTGTTTTGGACAGGTTCAAGCCTTGGACTGATGAGAGGGCACAGTCCTCTCATTGCCACGTGCAAGTCCCAACTTGGAGGGCAGGGCCCTCCCAGCACAATTATAGCCAACAGCTGTAGTTGTAAGCTTGAACCTATGGTCTGAACACGTGGCCCCACATGCCTAAGTGATGTAGGCTTGATAGAGTTCAGGTGCATGTAGCTGAGTAGGATTGAAACCCAGTAGAATGTTGTAAACATCTTGGTCACGCCCTTACTTTGCCTTGTAGCATCTGCTATAAAATAAAGGTATGGCTGTGGGCGTGGTTGCTGTCTCTCAGAGAAGCAGTGTCCCACCGAGACCCAGCTTTCATTCTCTTGTCTGTCTTTTCTAAGCCTTTCAGCCGCTGCCACTCAGGTTCACCCCTGGCCGTGCTGGCTTGCGGCAGATCTGCCTCCATGCTCCAAGGGCGGGTTCCTGCCTCAAACCCCGCTCTTACAGGAAACAGCTCCAGGAAACAGCTTGGGGGAGGCCATAGCCATTGCCAAGACAACCCCTGCAGGACTGACTTCCTTCCGCTTGGTCGCAACGGTTCTTCTGGACGTGATGAACGCCACCCATGGTTTTTATATAAGTAGATTTTAATGAGTGTGAAGTGGTCTTGAACTATGGTAGCAATCATCTCAGGTAGAAACTGCAGTTTAACTTTAACCCTGCTGTTTGGCTTCTGTACTTAATTGCTTGCTAAAACAATAGAAAAGTTACTTTGATTTTCTGAACTTATGTATGCTATCCCAATTGATTGAATACTCCATTGTTGGTGGTTTGAATATTCCATTGATTGTGATCTTACTGGTTATTGCACCACATTCTTCTGTACCTGGAAACCAGGACAGCACAATTACCCTAAATTGCCTCAGTGGCTACAGATAATGAGTTCTGGTTTCAGTGGTGGTCCCAAGACCAGGACAGCACAATTATTCTAAATTGCTTCAGTGGCTCCAGATAATGTGTTTCCATTGATTCAGTGATCTGAAGACCCAAAACTATAATTAATCTTACAGATAACTAACTTGCTCAATTTCGCTTCTGTAAGTGCTTTGTGCAAACTAGGTTCCTCATTCCAAACCCAAAGATGTAATCGATACCTTTGTAATATTTGCCTATATAAGCCTGATGGTGCCACCATTTTGGGACTGGGAGATTTGGAGCCATAACTCCCTCTCAGTTGCTGGCTTATTAATTAAATGACTCATTAATTTGGTCTTGAGTCCTGAGTATTTACTCGCGGGGTACATTACAACAGTCTCTCACTGTGGTTTTGATTTGCATTTTCCTAATTATTGATGGCCCACATTTTTTTCACATGCCATTTGCACCTCTTCTTTGTAGAAATGCCTATTCGAGTCCTTTGCCCATTTTTAAATTATTTGCTTTTTTCCCCTTATTTTTGTTGCTATAAGAGTCATTAATATATTCTGGATATTAATCCTCTCTTGGATATATAATTTGCAAGTATTTTTATCCATTTAATATGTTGCCTTTTTAAAATATATTTTTATTGATTTTTTACAGAGAGGAAGGGAGAGGGATAGAGAGTTAGAAACATGGATCAGCTGCCTCCTGCACACTCCCTACTGGGAATGCGCCTGCAACTAAGGTACATGCCCCTGACCAGAATCAAACCTGGGACCCTTCAGTCCGCAGGCCGACGCTCTATCCACTGAGCCAAACCGGTTAGGGCTTTATAGGTTGCCTTTTAACTCTATTAATACTATCCTTTGATGCAAAAAATGCTTCTAATTTGAAGAAATTCTATTTATCTGTGTTTTCTTTTGTTGACTATGCTTTTGGTGTCATATACATTTGTTTTATGTAATGAAACATAATTTCCTTTGTGACTTCTGTGACTGCATGTATGATGATGAAAGACACTTCAGTTTTAAAATTAGATGAATATACTTTCTCTTTGTTCTTTCATAATTTAGTTTAAGTACATAATATATTTAAAACCAATGGATTTTCTTTTAAAATTATATTCTTGGAAACTATTTAAGACATTGAATATGTTTTTTTTAAATTAAAAAAATCTTTATTGTTGAAAGTATTACAAATGTCCCTCTCTTTCCCCCACTGAACCCTTCTAGCCCACCCCCCGCCCTCCACCCTAGGCCTTCACCACCCTATTTAAATATGTTAATAAGAGAAAAAAGTTTATAAAAGACTCTATCCAGTTTTATTTTTTAAAACCCCAGGTTAAACACAACACATTTATAAACAAGTTAGACTAAAAAGACCAAAATGTATACGTTGGTTCTCTCAGGGTTGTGAGATTGCTAGTGATTTCTATTATACTTTAAAATTTTTCTCATTTTCCAAATTTAAAAAAATTAGCATATATTGTGTTAATTATCAGAAAATTACAAAGAATGTTGCAACTACAGGATGTGGATGCAAAGGGGCCACATGCTAAACTGACTAGCTCAGGGAAGGCTTGCATGGCAGCCTTGCAAACTCAGAGACCTAAAGTAACCACAAAGGATGGTCTGAAACTAAAACATTTTTTAACTAAAAAAAGTGGGTAGTCATGTCCTAGCCTGGTATCTTCCTGACAAAGGTCAATCTTTACCTTAACTGAGCCTGTCTGTTGTCTTTTTGCATCTACAATAACATATAGTTGGAATGTCAAAGTAATTTTCCTTTTTCCGGACCCCTCAAAGCACAGGCACTGCTCTGTAGAGACCACAAATCCCCTCATTGTTATTGAGTTAATTGCTGACTGCTAACTATCCTGCACCCACCTAAGTAAAAGAAGTATGTGTCTATCATTTTATTTTTTATCCAATCACAGAGGTTTCCATGCTTTGCTTTCTCCCACCTCCATAATCTATCCCTACTGGATTTCTTATAACCTGCTTACTCTCCTCTTTTGATTGTAATGTATAAAACAAGGTGCAAAACTGCCATTCTCCGGAGCATTATCTCAATCTGTTGAGATTCTGCTTTTCGGCATTTGTCTACAATTTGGCTCAAATAAACTCACAAAAATTCTACAGATGTTTGAATGTTTCTTACATTAACAAAAACCAAAAAAATAAAACTTGGAATGCAGGGGGCTCATAACTATGGAACTACCAGAATGGCACATGAGCCTAAAATTTGAATTTTGTAAATACTGTAACAGTATATAATGCACAGAGATAAAATAATTTAAAATGGAAAATTTACCTGCATAATAAAAGAATCTGTAAAGATATACAATAATATCAAAACAGTATTTATCTCTGCAATAGTAACACAATACAAATTGTTGTTTAAATCTGGAAAGAAAATGATTAAAATGTTAAAAATTGTTCAATTAATCAATAATCAGCCTTAGAAATATGGAGAAAATAAACATCACCAATGATTCCTACCCAGAGGAAATTTTGTAATAACTGCATAGGATTCTCTAGTACAGCGCTTCTCAACCTGTGTGTCGCAACCCCTTTGGGGGTCAAACGACCCTTTCACAGGGGTCGCCTAAGACCATCAGAAAACACATATATAATTACATATTGTTTTTGTGATTACTCACTATGCTTTATGTTCAATTTGTAACAATGAAAATACATCCTGCATATCAGATATTTACATTACGATTCATAACAGTAGCAAAATTACAGTTATGAAGTAGCAATGAAAATAATTTTATGGTTGGGGGTCACCACAACATGAGGAACTGTATTAAAGGGTCGTGGCATTAGGAAGGTTGAGAACCACTGCTCTAGTAAGAATACTCTATCATGTATTTAACCATGCCTTTAATGCTGAGATTTAGATTATTTTCAATAACTCAAAAGTGTCAACCAAATGTTATGATACTTACAAGAAGCATTACTTTATATTTGAGTCCTTTTTAAAAAAATTCCTTAGAGCTTTAAAGCCAGCAACAAGAAAGAGGAAGTAGCAAGTCAGTATTAAGACTGGGCTATTGATAAGCCAGGCAACTGGTTTATAGTCTTCACTTTTTAAATTTTATTATGTATATTTATTTTTATTGTTCACTTCTTCATTGTGTTCACGTGACATACAGTTGGATACAGCACTTTAACTCTTCATCTCAGGACCTCTTTCACCCTAACCTCTCTCACACACACACTTCACCTGCCACCTACCCAGAGAAATTTTTCAAGAATTTCCCAATCTAAATTGCTGCTCACTAATCATAAAGTTTGTGGAAAAATACGGAAAAACAGACTATAGGATATTTAAATAACTGGCAGTTACACCAGCCTGAGACCAGCATTGTTAAATTTTTAGTGTTTTCTTTCTAGTCTCTCCTTATAAGCTCCTCAACCACCCACTATTTCCCTTTCCAGAGCCCAGGGCTAAAAATCAAAGAAATAGAGTTAGGATGGATGGATGTCTCCCCTGGTCCAACATTTTATTTTATTTTTCTATTTTTTTTAATTGAATTCATTGGGGTGACATTGGTTCACAAAACCATACAGGTTTCAAGTGTACAACTCAACAAAATATCCTCCTCACACTGCATCTGTGCCCATCGCCTCAAGCAAAATCTCTTTTCTGTCCCCATTTCCCCCACCTTTGCCCACATCCACATAACCCCACCCCTTTTCCCTCTGGGTATCATCACACTGTTGTATGTGCCTTTTTATTTTATTTTTTTGTCTTTTTTTTTTTGCTTAATTCCTTCACCTTCTTTTAGTTACAATTTTCTCTTCACTCTTTTGAAATTATAAAAGTATAATACAGTTGAAAATTGAAAGGCTAAACCAATACAATATGGGTTTCCAGAAAACTCGGGGAGAGGGGCTGTTGGAGGATGAGGAGGAGGTAAATGAATCAGCCATATTCTCGGAAGGTGAGTGGAGTTGGAAACTTGATAGATCTAATAATTTATTGGCTCAGGGCTTGTCAATTACGACAGCCCAGCAAATGAGATTAGAGCAGAGTTGTGGGGGAGGGAGGGCGTGACGCAGCAAGCTACTGGCACCAAGAAAATCTAGCCAAGAGACAGCTGCGTTATCATATTGCGGCACCATTGTTGTTGTTGTTTTTTGTTTGTTTTGGTTTGGTTTTTTAACTAGCTGCTGTTTGCGGAGGTCTACCCACTGCGACACTCTGCATCTCTGGCCGGGTCCTGCAGGACGGTTCACATCGCCCATCTCGCCATCCTCTGCACCCAAGCCCAGGCCACCGCTGCCGCGGTTCAGTTCTTACAGATCAGCACCGCCTTCATCCCGGCTGCAGTCCTGACCACCGCTTTCACAGTCCGGCCGCTACCGCTGGTTCCACCTCTGCAACAGGCATCGCTGCTTCTGATATTCGGTGAGTCTTTCCCTGCGGAGGTCAGATCTCCTGATCTTGGAAGTAGCCGCATTAGACGTGTACGGTCCTTTGAAAAATGGCCGAGTCAGCCGACAGCAAGGAATTATTAGTATCCAGTCAAGAAGAGGCTGGTAATAAGGTGATGGTGGAGGGGCCTGGGAAACAGCCGGAGCACGGGGAAAATGCCGCAGCTGGGCCTGGAAATGATGGAGAGAGCGGTGAAGAAGCCGCCCCTTGCCCTGGGGAAGAAGGGGAAAAATGTGAAGATGCTGCTGGGTCCGGGGAAGGCGGGGAAAAAGGTGAAATTACTGAGGAGGACTCAGACCCAGACCGACCAAAAGGACTTATCGGTTATCTTTTAGATACAGACTTTGTTGAAAGCCTGCCTATGAAAGTTAAGTACCGTGTATTAGCCCTCAAAAAGCTTCAAACTAGAGTGGCGAATCTAGAATCCAAATTCTTGAGGGAATTTCATGAAATTGAGAGAAAGTTTGCTGAAATGTATCAGCCTTTGTTGGAAAAAAGACGTCAGATCATCAATGCAATCTATGAGCCTACAAAAGAGGAATGTGAATATAAATCAGACTATGAGGACTATGATGATGAGGAGATGTATGATGAGGAAGAGATGTATGGTAATGAAGATGGTCTGGTACATGAGTATATGGATGAGGGTTATGAGGAAGATTATTATGATTATGCTATTGTGGAGGAGGAGGATGACAACAATGCTGCTGCTGCTGCTGATGATGATGACATTGAGGCTACTGGGGAGAATAATAAAGAAGATGCTCAAGGAATTCCTGATTTTTGGCTGACTGTCTTAAAAAATGTTGATACACTCACTCCTTTGATTAAGAAATATGATGAGCCTATTCTGAAACTCCTGACAGATATTAAAGTGAAGCTTTCAGATCCTGGTGAGCCTCTCAGTTTCACACTGGAATTTCACTTCAAACCCAATGAATATTTCAAAAATGAGCTGTTGACAAAGACCTATGTGCTGAAGTCAAGACTAGCATATTATGATCCCCATCCCTATAGGGGAACAGCGATTGAATATTGCACAGGCTGTGAGATTGATTGGAATGAAGGAAAGAATGTCACTTTGAAAACCATCAAGAAGAAGCAGAAACATCGGATCTGGGGAACAATCCGAACTGTGACTGAAGATTTTCCCAATGATTCATTCTTCAATTTCTTTACTCCTTATGGAATCAGCTCAAATGGAAAGGATGGAAATGATGATTTTTTACTTGGTCACAATTTACGTACTTACATAATCCCAAGATCAGTTTTATTTTTCTCAGGTGATGTACTTGAATCTCAGCAGGAGGGGGTAATTAGGGAAGTTAATGATGCAATTTATGACAAAATTATTTATGATAGTTGGATGGCTGCAATTGAGGAGGTTAAAGCCTGTTGCAAAAATCTTGAGGCAATGGTAGAAGACATTGACCGCTAAGGCAGATCTACATGGCCCTGAAATTAACAGCCTTAGATCTAGATACTCAAAATAAAAACCGTTAATTAGTCTTGTGTTCTGAATTTTTCTTAGAGTGTTAAAGCATATATTAGAAATATAAAAGAAGTTAAAATACTAATTCATTTGACCTTGCATTTTAGTAGTAGAATGCTTTCAAGTAATGTATACTGTGGTAAATGATTTAAGACATTAAAATAGTGTAATGTATTTTAATCCTTCTGAAGTCCTTTTGTCATGTAGCTATCAATTTGTTGATGTGAATATTATCCAGGCTGCTAAATGAGACCCAAATTTTTCTGCTGTTGTTGTTTGGGTAATTTTATTTTCTTAGTCCTTTAGCTAGTGAGTTTCATTTTGTCATGCCTGCTTCATTTTGCAATAAAAATGCAGTAGAATTTAAAACTTGAGTGCTTAAGAAGAAGCCTGCATATGGTTAAGAATTTCAGGCAAAATCAAATTTATTGTTAATAACAGCTTGTTCATAGGCTCTTATATTATGTAATCGTAACAAAAAATGAAACTTAGTAATACTGAGGTTATTGTTTATCAGTGAAATGTTAATCACAGTATTTTTAAAAGATTCACATTGTACTGTGTAATTGTGTAAGCTGTAATTACAGTGTGTAATTTTTTTCTTATACAACATTTAATCATTCATTGAAAGTGATCACTTTACCATTTTGAAAAGACTTCATGTTCTTTCACTGCAAAATAAAATGAATAAAAATTTCAGTGTATCATGTTTTAAAACTGATCTTTTTTTCTGGTTAAGAAAGTAATATGTTCATTGGTGAACATTTGGAAAATACAACAAATATTTAATTAAAACTAAAATACTGGGTGAGTGGGAAGAGATCAACCAAAGAACTTGTATGCATATATGCATAATGTATGGACACAGACAATAGGTTGGTGAAGGCCTGGGGTGGGAGGGAGCAGGGGGAGGCTAGAAGGGGTCAATGGGGAAAAAAGAGGGACATATGTAATACTTTCAACAATAAAAAAACCAAACCCCCCCAAACAAAACAAAAACTAAAATGCGTATTCCCATTCCTTAAAGATAGGCACTGTTAATGTTTTGATTTATTTTTTACTATTATTTTTCTATGTGTACATATGCATGCAAATTTACTAACACTATACTTAGATATGCAAAGACAGTGTAACTTTTTATTGTTTATAACTGATCTAGTCTTTCTTAAACTTTTTTTCATTGTTAATCCTTACCAGAGGATGTTTTCCCATTGATTTTCAGAGAATGGAAGGGATGGGGAGGAAGGGAGAGAGAGATGAGAGAGACATCGATTAGGATTGGTTGCCTCAAACAAGGTCAGGGATTGAATCTACAACCCAGATACCTGCCCTTGACCCTTCAGTGGGCTGGTTGACACTCTAACCACTGAGCACACCAGCCAGGCCATAACTGATATAGTCTTAATCCTGAGACCACCTCTACTGCCCAGGGTTGCAGGGAAACAAAAATTGCAAATTTAACCAAATTCAGTAAACTCATTGCTATTTAGTAGTTTAAATATTCTGTATAAAACAACAAGGTTCTGTGTGTTAGTCAATATTTCAGATTTACCTACCCTTCCACAATGTTATCTGGATGTATAGGGGCTTATATTGCTTTATGTCTTGGGTGGGGAGCATACACTGACTGGGGACAGTGAGATGTGGTTGGTCAGAGAGCTGACTTCGTCTCAGAGCCTACATTGCCTTCTTCAGGTATGGAAACCCAGAGATTTGGCTTTCCCCTTTGGCAGACTCTATGAAAGTCACATCTATCCCACTGGGACAACAGAAAGAGAGAGAGAGAGAGAGAGAGAGAGAGAGAGAGAGAGAGAGAGAGATTATTAATAAATTTATTTTTATCTTTTACTTTTTCAATTACAGTTGACATTCAATATTATATTAGTTATTAGCTTCTGATGTAAAGTATAGTGGTTAGATAATCATACTTTACAACATTTCTTCCCCCCCGAATATTTTCAGTACCCACGTGGCACCATACATAGTTATTACAATATTATTGACTATATTCCCTATGCTATACTTTACATCCCAGTTACTATTTTGTAACTACCAATCTGTACTTCTTAATCCAACAGGGAACTTCTTAATCTCTTCCATACCTTGTGAATGCTGAGAGTGAGTAGGAAGTGATAACTCTGTCTTGTTATGGCTGCCTATCCACTCTACATCCCAGGTGGTTGTAATGTGATCCCACAGAATTATAAAATTTAAGTAGAACAAAAGCTCTTCTGCTTGTGAGTTATTTTTCCACTATTGAACATACTCATTCCTTCAGATTTTGGCTCAAAGAGGTAGGTTTTATAACACTGCCTGTATTTCTCACTCTGTCTCATCTCTCTATAGTCAACTGAGCAGGAAGGCATGGGAATTTTCCTCTTCTTGTCTGGACATAATATCATATCTTTCTCCCAGGTACAATAGTAGATGCTCACTTGCTTTTCCCTGGGGTTGCAATAGTTGACAGTGTATAGGGAAACAGAGACAAGTTAATATTATAGGGGAACCTAAATATGGAAATACTTCCCATATTTACTTGACAAATATAGACCTTTTCACAGTTTTCATCAATGTTAATCTCAACCTCTATTAAATTCCTGACTTCCCCCAAACCCTTCTCACACAGAAAGATTAAGCCTCCTTTAATTGTGTTTACTTTTATTGTGCATTAAAAAGTCAGGAACATGGGTGTATCTTTTCTGCTGTTTCACAGAGGAGAACCAGGCACCTTGAAGTCCCTCCTGTCCCTTTCTCTTGCCTTTATGAGGTAGAGCAGTAAAACTGCTTCTGGGCTTTCTATAAGGGCAGCCATCCCCTTTGCTGTATCTCTCATGTCAATGACCTCTGGCCAAAGACCATGAGGGACATACCCATAGTTGAAAAAGTTGGATGCATTCATTACTGCTGTGAGGCAGAACACACATCATGGGGAGCTATTGTATGTTATCAGTAAGTGGGTGTTAAAAATCACATTGCAGGATTTGGGCTTTGGTTGTGTGATTTCATGGAGGGTCTAACAGTGGAGGTTTACTTTACATTGTAGGAAAAATTTTAGAATTAGCAGCTCAATAAATCTTTATAGGGAGGAGAGACTAGAACAAGAATAAGTCTGTAATTGGTGAAAAGGTTGTAGCCACTCATTTTAGCTAGAATGGCAAGGATTTGGTATTTTTTGGTTGGCACAGTGACCTTGTTTTTGTCTACGCTTAGGCAAAATTAAGTGGCTTTGCTTTGTCACATTTAATTGTAGTCCTAGAGTAACCTGGTCTGAGGCTGTTCTGTGAGATGGTTTATGTCCAATAAGAGAATAACATAGCCTAGCTGTGAATATCAGGCCTGATGTCAGGGACTGCTTTTTATGTTTCTTTCTCTTTCACCCCTTCTCAAAGAGGTAATTTGAGACTGTCAATTTTCCGATAGCTTGTGGTGTGATGACAGTACATTTGATTTGGGTTTAGACTGGTGTAAAGGCCCTTTAGGCCTTGAGAGTAGCCATTAGCTTTAGCCCACATTCCAGAGAGGCCCGTACTAGGGTTTAGGACACAAATATAACTAAAAATAGAATTTTACCTTAATTCTTTTTGCAACTGTTCTTAAAAACATAATTCATACAGTCTTGGAGGAGTTTTGAGGTGATTATTGGGCCTTGTTAGAGTTTTGGTATTTTTAAGGAATATACTAAATATGTAAATATAATAAAATTCTATTTTGGGGCACGTAATTTATAGTGCAAATTACAGTATTTAGTATTATATATCATATGGCATAGAGATCAGTCTTTGAAGCCAGGCTGCTTGGATTCAAATTCCAATTCTGTAACTTATTAGTTGGGTGACCTTGTGCAAGTCACTTTATGTGTCTCAGTTTTCATATCTTGAAAGATAGGGTAATTATTGTGGACTACATCATAGATTATTATGAAGAGCAAATTGATTTATATAAAGTGCTTTTAAATACGTGTAGCACATAGATGCTGATAGGTGTATCTATCTTTATTATTTTTATTATTAAGTTTATATCTGTAAAATACTCAAAACTGTGAAGTATAAAAAAGACTACAGTAAATTCTTATTAAATTATTAATAACAAAAACTGAAAGCTTATACTTTCTATTTTAATAACAGACTCCCCAAGAGTTTTGCTAATATTTAGAAGGGCTAAGTGGCAAGTTTAGGTGCAGTACTTAACTTACTGACAAGCCTGGTTAATGAAGAGGAAAATATAGTGACTAACTATAGTGTTACTTCCTCACCTTCCCAATATATTCAGTAGCCTTATAGCTGTGTACACCAAACTCTACACTCATCATAGGCCATTTGATCACTGGCCAATAAATGCATCATTAAATTAAAATATTTGGAAACTGGGAACTGTCAAACCAGAAACTAAAATCACATGAAATTATATATCATCCATAGGTACATAGCAGATTTGATTTTTTACTACACAGATATATGCAACATATAGCTGATTATTTTAAAGCAGAGAATCTTTTAAAATATAGTCCGGCCTGTGTGGGTAAGTGGTTGAGCATCAACCTATGAACCAGGAGGTCACAGTTTAATTCCTGGTCAGGGCGCATGCCAGGATTGTGGCTCGATCCCCAGTAGGGGGCGTGCGGGAGGCAGCTGATTAATTATTCTTTTTCATCATTGATGTTTCTATCTCTCTCTCCCTTTCCCTTCCTCACTGAAATCAATAAAAATAATATATTTTTTAAAATAAAAGAAATATAGTCCCAGCTGGGTGGCCTAGCTGGTTGGAGTGTCATCCCATACACCAAAAGGTGGCAGTTTGACTCCCAGTCAGGGTACATACCCAGGTTGCAGGTTTGAGGCTCACATGGGAGGCAACCGATTGATGTTTCTATCTCACATCGATGTTTCTCTTTCCCTCCCTCCCTCTCTCTAAAAATTAATTGAAAGCAAAGATGTATAAAGAATAATTTTCTATGGAACACATTTCAGAAATGTATTTTCTCTGAATTCTTTGCCCAATAATATAGTTTTTAAAAGTAAAAGAAAAAAAGAATGTCTAAAATTAGATGACCCCTGCTTTTTAAACCACATAAATGATCTATGTGTTGATCTATTCCCAAGGTGATTAAAGACCATAAAAACTCCATTAACCCCCATTCTGCATGTGCACACACTTCCATACTCTTACTGGTTCTCTCTGTGTGTGTGCCTGTTTGCATGTGCTCACTCATGAGATGGAAGAGGTGAAGTGGGATGGGAGTGCATGGGGTGGGGGTGTCACTCATCATAAAGGACCTCAGCCCTTGTAAAACTTCTCTCCTGGGGCTTGTGCGGGTGCTAAGTAGGGGGTGGGATGAAAGGGAAGCGAGGTTAATCAGCAGAGGCCCCTAATATAAGCCTCTTCTTTGGCCTGTGTGTGTGCGCGCTCATGTGAGCTCACTTCGTATATTATTTGAGCCTTCTGCCTTAGTCTATTTTAAATGAGATGTGTGTTTTTTTAAGCCTTTCATTACTAGTTTTATTTAAGTATAATTGGTATACAAATTAGTTTCAGGCATGGAATATAGTGATTGGACATTTATAAATCTTAAACTGTGATCACCACACTAAGTCTAATAATCATCCATCACTGGGAAAACTGATCACAATATTATTGGCCATATTCCCCTTCACCTTTTTCCACCACCCTCCAAACCCTTGTCTACTCTGGAAACCATGAGTTTGAT